ATTGGTCATTTTATTTTTGTCATATAAGTATCTAATAAATTAATATCACTAATTCTACATGTTCTTCCTAAATATTTAAAGAAATCTATGGTATACTCAGCTATATACTATAAATCGCAAATTTGTAATTGTTCTAAATTTCTGATTGCTCTTATTTGTTCTTGTTCACTTCTACCATCTAACCTATTATGATCTAAAAACTCTTGTTTAATCAAAGTAATAAAACCATCAATATTAAAATGTGTTTTAGCTGCCTGATGTTGTTGTGGATTTTGAACTTTCCATAATTGGAAATAATAAAAAACTAAATCATCCAAAGTATGTTCAAAGTAATCTAACATGTTTTGTGAATTACTAAAATCTAACATTAATGCTGCATGTACGCAGCATTTTTCCCATCTCTCAATCGTTCTTTCCCAATCTTGTGGATCTACATTATCTAAATTTAATATATTACCAGCTATATTAATTTGTTCTAACCCTCTCAAATATGGAATCCTATTTTTCTAGGTTTTATCATACTTTCTTCCATATAGTCTACTTTTGCTTTTTCATTATATTGTTCATTTGTTGGTCTTAAAAATTGTTGATCGGTTCTGCTTGCGTGTCTTGGATTTTCTACTCCTGATGTACTACTTTCTTCTGCTGGATTACATTCTGCTTTCAATTTTAATAAATTATTATATTCTTTTGATCCTAAAATGTGTTCTACTCCTATTTCTAAGATTAAAATTTTCATTTCTTCGTCTGAAATTTTATGTAGTCCTAAATCATATATCTTATATTTTTCCAAATATTGTTCTTCATCTAAATGATCAATATCTTCTATAAGTTTATCTACAATATGATCAAAATTTTGCTCAACTAAATTAATATCTAAATTATCAAAATCCATATGTATACTCTCATTTTCAATTTCACTCTCATCCTCTTCTATTTTTTCTAGTTGCTTATAATTACTAAACCTAATTGTTGCTTGACTTATACTAGTTTCATATATTTGTACTTTATCTGGTTGTCTATTTGGTGCTACTTGTAAATTAGACAATGTCCACTGAGTTCCTTCTAAAAAGCTATTATCTACGGGTTTTGCTTCTATTATATTTACATGTTTACTGCCAAATGTTTAAACTAAATTTTGAAACTCTAAATTAAATTTATGATTATATCTATCAGACACTTTATCTATATACATTAAGCTAACACACAAATTTTTATACTCTCCTTTCATATTATAATTTTTTGTTCTTATGCTCACTTTAATATATTTACTAAATTCATTAATCGTCATAAAATAATTTGGAATACAACCTATAACTGCTAAGTTTGAACTTAAGTCTACTTCAGCTGTTGCTATTGCTGCTTGTTGGTGATTATCTCATCTATCATCATATATGTATACTAAAGCTTTTGTACCTACTTGTGCTCTGGTTAATCCTGCTATTCCAATTAATATTGTTCCTATATGAATCTGACTAAAATGAGATTTTCTCAAATGAGTAACTGCTTCTTTACTAATTAGATTAAGTGTGACTTCTTTATCAATATAGCTAACTTCATGTTGACTGATGTTGCTTACAATTCTACTTCTGTTTTCAAATAAACCTAATTGATACAAGTTATATTTATTTTTCTGTGTTCTCTCAAAACCTCTTCGAATGAATTCTTGTGCTTCTTCTTCATTTGGATAAATATATTCCGCTCTAACTACTTCTTTTCCTTTTTTCCTAAAGAGTTCCATTTTCTATTATCGAAAGGATTTAGCTTAGGTCTTCTATTATTATTTGCACTCAAAGTTAAATTTTCTAATTTATCTAGTAAGAATGGTGGAAGTGATGAAGATGCGTTATGTAAAACTTGGTTTATTTCTGCTATTTGTTCTTCAACTTGATCTAATTTTTCAGCTAAACTTAAAACTAATTGGATAATCAAATTATTTTGCCTAATGGGAATATTACTACTGGATACTTGTGTTGAAAAATCTGTTAATCCTACTGGTTCTTTATCTAATTTACTAATTTCTTTTAAAGCTTGAATATATTTTCTGCTAGTTCTAGAATCTGTCATTAAACTAATAATTTATCTATTTTATTATGCAACTTATCTACTTGTTCACTTAACTCTTTTTGTACTAATTGAATTTTTTGAACTTCTGATTTTAGCTGTTCAACTATTTCTAATGATCTAAGTTCTACTTGCTTCGGCTTACTATCTATAAGATCAACAAGCTCTTTTATCTCTGTTTTGCTAGGAAACCTTTGAATATTTCTATTATTATCTTCTAACTGAGATGTAATATAGTCTAAATTTTGTCTAATTATTTTTATGGAGTTTTTCTGGAAATGCTCTAACAACTGGTTTAACAAATGATTATGCTTATTATTTTCTAATTTTATATTTTCTGCTTGACTAATAATAAGATTTACAATAGTATTGGCTTGTGAATTTTCTTCATTTTGCAAAATATGATTATGCTTTCTTGATGGAAAATAACAAACTAAACTATTTTGGTCTAAAGTTATTTTTCTTTTTTGAGGTTCACTAATTTCTTAAAAACTCTATTTCTTCTCTCAATGTCTCTAAAACTTGATATGTTGTTCTTTTTGCTTCTAAAACTTTATGCTGCAATTCTGTGTTATTATATTTACTAATAAATGAAGGATGTTCAAGATATCCAAGATAAAACTTTTGCTTCTTCAAAGTACTAATAATTCTTTTGGATATATATGCTAATCTTCTCTTTATGCTAGTTATAGTTGGATGTCTGGGACAATAAATACCTGGTAATTGTGGTTGACAGGGTCTACAGGGACAATAATATCTGTTGTTCATATACAATAAACAAATATGATATCAGTTGTATCTACGACTTCTATCCTCAATGTACTTTACTTTTATAATTATACTATTAAAATGTTAAACTAGGCTCTGATACCAAATTCGCAACGCATGCTCGGTTAAATAGTCGGATGACCATTATAACAACTAGACATAGAACCTTGCACATGGAACTCGACATGTTTCAGCATGACGACCACTCACAGTACAAGTATAAGGCCTTAACGGCTGAACTCAGAGGTACGAAGAACTCAGAGGTACCCTGGTTGATGTCCAGTTATTTGTATGGCAAACATTCAACTATAATAGAGTGCTCGAACAAAGTATGATCGTCAGTTTAACAAGTTAATAATATAACCACAATAGTGTTTCCCTGTTTTGGACTAGAAGTCTAATTAAACAAACATACTAAAGAAGGAAAAGAAAACTTACTTAAGACTTGGAGATTGCTTGAATATGTACACTTGAACTTTTATTGATATATGGAATGTTTACAGAGATGGTTGTTTACAAGAAAGTGATTACAAAGAAGTGTTTACAAGGATGTTATGAAGGCTACGAATGCTTGAGTGTATGGTGTTTTCAGATATTGAGAGATATGTGTGGTATTCAGGTGTCTTCTGTATGGGAGGAAAGGCTCCCTTATATACAAAAGCTGATTCCTAAACAACAAAATAAATTTTCAATATTTACAACTTTTTGATAGTGACAACACACTGTTTCTAAAAGCTGTCAGCACTGTTTCTGAAAGCTGCTGAAGGCCACGTGAATCCATATTGTCTTGGTTGGTGCAAAGTTTGCCACCTTATCTTTGGCATGCAAAATTTTTCTGAAAATGTCATCTTCATTGCTGAGCAATCTTGTATGGATGTGTGAAGGGCATGATTGGCATTTTTGCTAAGTTTTGTCCTGATGATTAAAGTGAAACTTTTGAGGGTGTTTTGGTTAGTTTTCCATAAAATAAAATGAATATGGGACCACTGTTCAGGATTCAACTAGAGTTTATAATATATGGAATGTTTCGCTACTAGAAAATCTCACTTGATTTGCCACATACCTAATTTGTGGCTTTTAATCCAAATTTGTGATGAGAGCCACACTGCGACAGGGTGTACACGAGCTTTTTAAAGGAAGTTGCAGTTCTATCATAAAACTAATTAGAAATATATGGAGTAATTCAACTTATGTATAAGTTCATGCAAGAACTACTTTTCTATCAATGTGAGATTCATTATCAACACACCTTTTCACATGTGACAAACTTTCAAACCTAATACGTGAACAACATAAATTAGCTGACGTACGGAGCATATGTGTTTTTTAGGCTTCACATGTGGGACAACTTACTTTGATACCATGAAGGAAGTTGAGGTTTTACCGTAAAACCAATTGGTAATATGGTGAGTAGCCCAACTTACTTATAAGTACACACTGCAACAAAAATGGCCTATGGATACAAAATTGAGGACACAATTATTTATTTTGTGGGTATAGAACAAATTTTACACACAAAAAATTGTATTTGTTTCCTTTTCTATAAGGGCACCAACTAATGTGCCCATTCTCTACAAAGTTGGCACAAATAATTTTCTCTCTCAACTTTTTCAAAACAAAGGATTCAAATATATTATTTGTGTCTATATATTACTTCAAAAGACACAATTATTTTTCTATATTTTTTTTTCTAAGACTTATGACTCACAGCTTACTTTCTCTCCCTCTCTTCAACCCACCAAACACCCTTAACCAATCCACACCCCATTCTCTCTCTCTCTCTCTCTCTCTATCTCTCTCTCTCCCTCCCTTAACTCACCCACGACACACTCTCTCTCCCTCCACACCCCCACCCCCCACACTTTTCTCTTCCACCCGTTTCACTCACTTCTCTCTTCCACCCGTTTCTCTCTTTCAAGGAATAAAAATCGATATTATCAGCAATATTTCGCCGATAATATCCTTTTTTTTAGATGACGATATTTTTACACTTATCCACTTAATTATTGTCAAAATATCGCGATATTATGCAAATTTGACATAATCCCATAACAAAAAATGTCACACGCATGATTTCAACAATAAAATTAAACACATAACAAAGTTCTTCCTAATTCAAAAACCAAATGTATTATAGCATCAAAACCCGATCATTCTCTAAATCCGTTTTAGTACCTCCTGGGAGCACCACGCCTGTACCCGAGATTCTGAGTCTGAGCTTCCGGGTCAACCCGCTTGACACCAGGCATGTCAACCATACCGAGAGCGGAGAGCATGTCGAATGTCTCCTTGTCGACAGAGATCTCATTGATATTGATGATGGACTCCTCGGGGACAAAGTCCATGCGGCGCTCGCACTCATCCTCCTGCAGCTTTAAGGAAATGCCACGAACCGGGCCCTTCTGGATTCGCTTCATGAGGTGGGTGGAGAATCCGGCAATCTTGTTGCGGAGGCGTTTAGAGGGGATGATGGCGACTTCCTCGAGGATCTTCTTGTTGGTGTGGAAGTCCAGGATCATGCGCGAGTAGTAGCACTCGATCTCCTGGCGAGAGGATTTCTTCACTGTCTTTGTGCGAACGCGAGCTATGGTGGTGGTGGAATTGTGCAGATGCGACCCATGGTGGTGGTGGAATTGTGCGACGAAGTTGGGAGGAGAGGAACGGCGGGTGAGTGTGTGCGTTCGTGAGAGAGGCAAAAAGAGGGTAAGGGAAGGGAAGTTAGGGTTTTGGGATATTTATAGGAGATCTCTGTTGGTGGGTTTATGAGGTTATTGGGCTAATGTACAGAAATTGGAGATGAAATTGGGCCACTGTATTGTCAGAATCCTGGGCTTTGTTTGTTAAATTGAGTCTGTTTGGGAGAAAAACTTACATAAAAAAACTTTGTCGTGACATTTCGATCAAATAATACATTGTTATGTAGAAAATACTTACACATCGTAATGCAATATTAGATCGAAATTTCATTTGGCAGTTAACTCATTCCATATAAATCATTCTCTTGTTTGGAATTTGCTAATCAAATGGTTAACAATCAAAAGCATTTTTAAGTACTCTTCTGATTACATTTTACTTAACAATGCTTTAGGTTATAGAAACTATTTTTCTGGAACATAATCTAGAAACTATTGGGGCTAGTAGGTAGTGAAAATTTTGATCCTCATAGGAACTCTATATGGTATTAATTCACTCATGTATCTTACCATGCAATATATAAAGTGTAAAATATTGTACTAATTCCTTATATATAAATGATTATGGTGTGCTTAAACTTCTTTCATTAATTACTATATTTTCTACACTCACAATGTTTGTCAGCTCGCTATATAATCAACTTAAATCAGTTAAATCCATCATGAATGCATTTCCTTCCAATTTTTTGTGATAAACTAATAGATAATTGATTAAATAAACATCCTGCAAAGTTTCAATAAAAATTTCCAAGTTTTTCTTACAATTTCCGTGGTTTTTGTTCATTTTTTATCGATATCGATAATATCCCAATATTTCCATCGAAATTTCCGTGTTTTTGGACTACCGATATTTCTGATATCATCGATATTTTAGACCTTGCTCTCTTTACCAAATGGATTACTTTGGTCTCACACATATATATTATATGTATTTAATTTTAAAATTATGTGGATCGATTGGTTGAGATTTAAATCTCAAATCGTTGTTTTATAATTAACCATTGTTGTTGCAAAAAACTGGAGGTCTTAGAACAATGTAAATCCGACCGTGAATTTGCAAGAAAGTAAATAACAAAAGATGTATCGTGGTTCACCCCAATGTTTGGGCTACGTCCACACTAATATTGTATTTCTCTGTTTTTTAGAGGATGAGAGGGTGAGAGAGTCTGAGGGTGAGAGAGCTCTTCCCATTGCCTAAGAATTGGCCTCCCTCAATGAGGAGAGTGATGGGTCCTTTTATAAAATAAGAGCTCCTCACTTATTACATATTTGCCCTTTCATTTATTACATAATTGCATTTGAGTCCCCCGAGTATTTATACGAGGTCTAAATACGGAGGCCATAAGTATGGTACAAACATTAGTCCCCCAAGTCTTCAGTCAAGAGAGTTTTTTGGCTGGAGACTTGAAATTCAGTCCATGTGTAAGCCGAAGTAACTAGATGTCGTCTAGAACTGAATACTTGATATAAGGCGGTGCTCAATGTGAAATGATGCTCAAATAGAAGTAGTACATGTTGCGAGGCTGCTCGGCTTGTGGCTTATGTTGTCTTGGTTGGCTCGGCTTGCAGCGATGCTCTCTAATGATGGTGAGGGAGTCCCTTTTATAGAATAAGGGCTCGCTCCTCAATACATAAGTGATGGGCTAGAGTGATGCTCAATTAGATGGTGAGGGAGTCTCTTTTATAGAATAAGGGTTCGCTCCTCATTACATAAGTGATAGGTTAGGAGTGATACTGGCGGCGAGGCGGTTGCTCAGCTGGCGCCGATGCTATCTAATGATGGTAAAGGAGTCCCTTTTATAAAATGAGGGCTCGCTCCTCAGTACATGAAGAATATGTGCTCTCTAATGAAAGTGAGGGAGTCCCTTTTATAAAATAAGGGCTCGCTCCTTAGTACATAAATAATGGGCTAAGTCCCCCAAGTATTTTGATGAGGCCCAATATATGGTACATAATGTAGTCCCCCAAGTCTTCAGTTAATATGGTCTGTTTGGCTAGAGACTTCAAATTGAATCCATGTATGGGTCGAAGTGGCGATTGTTCGGAGGCGGTATTTGTATACCTTGCACTGAAGCTTTGTAGGTGAAGCTTTGCAAGTGAAGCTTTGAAGCTAAAGCTCTGTAAATGAAGCTTTCGAAGCTGGAGCTTTTGTAAATGAAGCTTTTGAAACTGGAGCTCTGTAAATGAAGCTTTCGAAGCTGATTGACATGAGTGATGCTCATAAATGTTTATGTTGATTAACATGAGTGATGCTCATGGATGTTGACATGAGTAATGCTTATGAATGTTAACATAAGTGATGCTCATGAATGTTGACATGAATGATGGTCATTAATGTTTATGTATGATTGACATGAGTGATGCTCATGAATGTTTATGTATGATTGACATGAGTGATGCTCATGTATAATTTTGGAGTACTGGACATACTTTTGATCACCTGATTGGTGATAATAGCGGCAGGCTGCCGAATAATTTTAGGAGTACTGGGCGTACTTTTGATCACCTGGTTAGTGATAATAGTGGCAGGGTGCCGAATAATTTTGGAGTATTGGGCGTACTATTGATCACCTGGTTGGTAATAATAGCGGCAAGGTGCCGAATAATTTTGAAGTACTGGGCGTACTTTTGATCACCTGGTTGGTGATAATAGTGGTGATAATAGCGGCAGGGTGTCGAATAATTTTGGAGTACTTGACGTACTTTTGATCACCTGGTTGGTGATAATAGCGGCAGGGTGCCGAATAATTTTGGAGTACTGGGCGTACTGTTGATCACCTGGTTGGTGATAATAGCAACATGGTGCCGAATAATTTTGAAGCCATAAGGCCTGGCTCTTTTGGGCATATGGGCCTTGGCCCTCCACATAACATTCCAGCCCATTATTTTGGGCTTGACCTTTTTTTTTTTTTTTTTTTTATGATTACCTTCTGATGGGGTTTATATAGATGTATCTGAAAGATAAGAAAAATAAATTACATCATTCAAAGAAGAATTACTGGGACTTGCGATAGCAAGATTTCTCCCTTCACATCAACCTCAGCGGTTCAGCTGTTAGAGGAAACCTTTACGTGAAGGCATGTTTGGTCAGCAGGCATGGTCTCTCATACTTTGATACTTTTGCATGTTCTCCGGATGGGTTTTTCAAAATGGGAATATGCATGATGAAATGTCAGTATATAGGAGATCTGAACACCAGCTAGTGTACTCCAGCTGTAAAAGGTCAGTATACTTATCCAAGTGTTTTCCTCTTTCCTCTTTTTCCTTTATTCCACTTTTGCTTTCTCAGAAAATGAATTGCTACCACCCTGTAAAGAAGATGCAGGGAATGGGTCGCGACTGAGCTCTCTGAATTATTGATTGTCCTGCCTCACATGGTGAACCTGAGTGGAGCTTTGGTTCGAAGAGAGCCCGGGTACGAGGCACCGCTAGCTGACTTCGAATCTGGGTACAGTCGGAAGCCCAGCTCAGGAGTTGCTCCAGCTGAGTTGACAGTGGCTATTGCCACAGTTTAAGTGCCGAAAGAGCTTGATTAACATATGACGGAGCGCCGTGAATTGGAAGAAGAGGGCCGTGTGCGGTGGCTGTTGGCTTGCAAAGACGACGTCATTTGTCTCTGGGACCTTCCACCCGTACTGCTACTGCCATTCTCCAATTCTTATGGAGGGATTCCATTCCTCTAAAATGGCTTGTTTGGTGCTGCAAGTTGACTTATCCAATTATACAGAAAATCAGACAGAGTTATTTACACAGCCGGTGACAGCCTCACACTTTTCAAAGGTTTACCCATCTCAAATGGCAATGCCGAGTCGTGGTTGCTGACAATGTACATCGATGGAGAGCTACAGATTATGAGGAAAGACAACGGCAGCATGTTCGTGCTACTCAAGGAAGGTCGCGTGCAGCCTTTCCATACTCACTGGACAGAGCTCACCCCATGGCCGGAGCGTGGCCCTTGCCATTTGTGTCGCTTCCTTGAACTGGGAAACCAATCCAACCGACATTGCGAGATGGGTTTCTCAAAAGAATTGATTTTTTACAGCAAAAAGTACTGGAAATCGGGTGGAGGAAATCAGAGAGTTGGGGTGTTAATTGATCCGACAGTTGATATTTAGAAAGGATTGCAGGAAATACGACGACTTTCTTGGCTGATTCCCGCGGTCCGATTTCGTATCATGTATCCATAAATCCACCTGAGATTTGCAGAAATACAATCCCACAAGTACAGAGAGAGATTCTTCAAGCTGAAAAACCTTCTCTCATCCATCTTTTCTTCTCAACTGATTCCATCACCGCCCCAGTCCTTCTTCCAACTGTTGATTCAATCGATGCAGTACGAATCACAGCTACGAAATCTATAGCTATGTGGGTTTGTTGGTAGCAAGGCTGGTGAAGGACCCGACTTCATCTTGGCGAGTGAGATCGAGCTCGGCGTGGCTGAGGACAAGATTGGTGAAGTGAAGTTAATGGCTTGTATCTGGAAGATGATGGCGGAGCCAACGAGGTCGCCGGCTATGAAGGTCTACGTAGACTTGTTGGAGAGGATGAAGCTTTGTGTTTGGTCACGGGTTTAAAGCATCGATTTGTGTTTGGTTACAGAGATGGGAAAGTTTCTTTTTTTTTTGTTTTGGCTTCCATGTGTGACTAACTGAGATAGGAGAAAGAGGTGGTTGGAGGTATGCGAAAGTATTCTGGAAAAGCTCTGGGTTGTTAAGTGTTTTTGCAGATTTTACAGATTCACGGTGGAGGTGAAAAAATGAAAGAGAACCGATATAGTTTTTTGTGTCGATTCCCACAGACGGCGCCAAATGTTGGTGCACAAAACCGGAGGTCTTGGAACAATGTAAATCCGACCGTGAATCTGCAAGAAAGTAAATAACACAAGATATATTGTGGTTCACCCCAATGTTTGGGCTACGTCCACACTAATATTGTATTTCTCTGTTTGTGAGAGGATGAGAGGGTGAGAGAGCTCTTCCAATGGCCTAAGAATTGGTCTCCTTCAATGAGGAGAGTAAGGGGTCCTTTTGTAGAATAAGGGCTCCTCACTTATTACATATTTGCCCCTTCATTTATTACATAATTACATTTGAGTCCCCTAAGTATTTATATGAGGTCTAAATACGAAGACCCTAAGTATGGTACAAACAACCCTAGTAACCTCACTCTCACCTCACCTCACTATCACTGTCTCTCTCACCCAATTTGACACACCCCGATCCGGAGGATCCAGGTGTGCTGGCCG